GCACTAAGATCTGCTTCGGTTGAATATAGGGTTTTCCTTATTCACACACGCACGCACGCATGCATGTATAATGAAATCTCCCTAATTTTAATTTATTGGAATCAAACAGTATGTAATTTTTCTTTTGGTAGCTACTCGTATGTTAATAGCTTTAGTTTTAACAGATAAATTGAAAATACCGCACATCATATTTAACTATATTCACTTTCATTATACTATACGTAAAATAATGAGACAGCAATACAAGTAGAAAAATTGAGTTGAAAAAGTTTCTGCCATGAAATAAAGATTTAACTAGATATTTAATCTACAATCCAAATACAGGCAATTTAATAGACATTACCCAATCATTGTCCTTATTAAGGCTCTTAGAATCACGTTTTTCTAATTTTTGAGCTCGACATATTAGTAGTCTGGGATCTTCAACATCCCAACAATGCGCTGTTACCAATCTCCCTTTGCATTGTGCAACTCTAAAAGTAGTATATTGTCAGAGATATACAAAATCAATTAACAGAAAAATATGATTAATTCTGATCTGTGTGTGATTTGATGCAGCTGTGTCGAATTTTCAGATTATTTACTCACAACATATTATCATCATCAACGATGTCATCCGACTCTCCAAAATCAAATTCATAAATCTGATCGCTTTCAATATCCCAAATATATAAAATCGAACTAGGCATGAGATTTGCCATGGCAACAGTGATTGAGACGCAACGGCAATCCGAATTACATCTAGCTTCAATGATTTCGGCAAAATCGCTAATCATCTCGTATGTCGCCATAGCGCGAGTGTGTAACTTAGCCTCATGTTTGCTCAGATTCCAAATCTTCAGAATACCATTTAATGATGCTACAGTTAAATAATGCCCTACAAAATGTTATAAGTATAATATTTATAATGCAAGTAATACAAATACTTTGTTAAAGTTTTAGGTGATAAGGAAAACTCATGACACTTTATGTCAAATAAAAATTTTTACCTGTTAATTCCATCGTGATTGGTTCGCCTTCCTCCGGTAAAGTGGGAAGCGTCTGGATAACAGAGCCTTCTATAGATCTCAACTGAATGATCGTTGGAGTCAACACGATCAATGTGTGTTCATAGATCAGTATCTTTTCCGTATCGCAGCTGAAGGTTGTCAATACATTCGTATTAAGATTAGCACCTTTATTGATACAGTTGACAACGATTTGTCTACCAGAAGAGACGACGATGTATTCTCTTGATACAGCAATGATCTGCACCTGGATCTCCGTCTTTAGCGTATGCAACTGTTCATCCATCTCAAGTAGAATCTGTGTCGGAGTGAGCTGACTTGCGCAAACACCATCATTGTACACGGCGCACATTGGCTGTTGATGTAAGATGAACACATTGGTGATACAGTTAACAGCCAGAAGAGAATTCCGTGATAAGCTAACACCCCATTCCAATTGTTTTACTGTGCCGTGTATCGCGCAGGACTCTGGGACACTCGGCCAGGAATTCTCATCGCAATCAAGCATACATTTTCGCTTCCATAAGTAGATTGTACCTAGATTGGTACCGGTGGCCAAAGTGTCTGAGAACCGCGGAATGTTATTTAATCCATTGTCCTCAAATTAATTTCAATGGATATGTTACAGACAAAGTCTGCTAAAAATAATTTATTAGTGAACATAGCCTGATTTATGGACAAAATCAACATTGTCCATCCAGCGATAATAATATTAGTAATCGTTATTTTATTGCGGACTTTGCCCGATTCCAAATGAACATTGCTAAATCTATATAGGCTAAGCTGCGTTGAATGAACGGAGCCAGTAGTACTTAGATTTCTCAACTTTTTAAAGGATCATTATTTAAAGGATCATTTATATTATTATAAATCTCATTGATCGATTATAAGAGAGGAATGCTGGACTGTGATTAATCAATTCTTAAAGATTACAACATACACAGTATACAATTACAGCAAGTATAAATGATCTCTAAGGCTCCTAGTCGCTATTGATAAAATTAGAGAAGGGAAAAAACCCTCCGGACCATTGAAATATAATAAAAGTCATGCTCCTTTCAGTAATATTATATTTTAGTGCTCTGGACACATGGTGTGTATTGATAAATGTTACCACTAAAGTATTGGTAAATGTTTATCAGGAAATATAGTATGTACACTTGATCAATTCTAAGTCAGATAAATCTGGTTTAGAATTTTGAAAGCACATTGATATCTTACCATTTGCCTTGCAAAATGCCAAGCTAGTACATATTTCCTGAGGAGTGGCGACGTTTCCATTGGATAAATCTGGTGGTGATAAGATGTATGTATCACCTGTGTGAATATCCCAACACCGTACAGCGAGTTCTCCTGTGAGCACAGCCAATGTGTTTCTGCTAATCCAGCACAAGGTGGTACTAGTGGCTCGTGATGAATCACTTCTGCAACTTAGTTTTACCTAAAATAAATATTATTATAATATTATTTGTTACATCAATTCAGAATTAAACTATACTGAGTCCTTATATATTCAAATTCTCTAATGATCAATGTTATTATTTTTTACATTTCTTCTCTTGACAAATGACAATATTGACAATTTAATTTCTTATCATATTAATTATTTATTATACAGGGTGACTGATAAAAATAATAATACTGAAGAGTAGATTTTGTTTTATCTTGAAACAAAAATCCTAATACCAAAATGTCAAGGCTATAAAATAATTTTTGAATTGTAAGCATTTACAATTAATGAATCATATCACCTAAAATTCGCGTTTTTCAGTATTTTGCATTGTACCACACCTGAACGTATGAACTACACCCTTTATATTTTCATGAATAAAATTTCATTTACATTTACAGTGCATTCTTAAACTTTGAAATAATGTGTAGATGTAGTAGTGATAGAACTCAATGGCATAAACCTTTGTCAATTCGGTGAGCTCTCCAGTGATTGAATCTGCTTGAAAGTGCCCAATATTCAATCCCTCTGTCATAACAATGATAGAATCTCTAGTCTGATGATACAGTAAGCAGTGCACAATTGCGCCATCAGTACTAAGAACTTCCTTGCACTGTCCTTGAGAATCAACAAAATATATGATACCACTTATAGTACCAATATAAAACGAATGATTGTCCCGTTGTATTGGAACTGCTGTTGGTACAGCTGTTCTTGGACGCCAAGAACTGAATATATCCCAGGCTCTCTCATCACCAGTCACTGTTGCTTTTGCCAAGCCACTGTAAACGATTAATTGACCAATTAGTATCTGATTAAACAATCAAGAAAAAAATTATCAAATATTCATCTATAAGTTTTAATTAAAATAGGTTCTTTGAAACATAAGTTTACTTTTTATTTTATATATTATATTACCTTGCAAATAAAATTAAAAAAATATCCTGTGCCATTATAAAACTAATAAAAGTTGTTTTATATAATTTAATCTATTTTTGCTTATAAGTTGTACCTAATATCAACAGCTGGTTTTAGTGGAATTGTTCTAAATGCAATTTGCGTGAAAGATTCCTTTAGTTCATGATGGAATGTCATGAATAGCTGTCCTCTAGAGTCTATTTTCCATCCAACTATAGATCCACCAGTATCTGCAGATACTAAACAACCACCATACTGACTCCATTGCAAAATTGTGATGATATCTCGATGAGGAGTTACTATTACATTGAACTCCTGAGTTCCAGTATCCCCTGGCCATACCTGATAATAATTTAATATATTTTTCATCTATTCTTTGCCTTCTGTAGCTTGAAATAATGTGTAATACTAACTCGTAAGTCTCCGTTTTCCCATCCTGCTGCTAGCCACGTTTTCTCCGGATGCCAGCCAAGAGCGGTGACTTGTGCCACTGTATGTCCTGGTGATTCAACATCCTGCACGAGTTCACCTTGATCATCATAAATGACTACAAAGCCACCTTTGTCTTGAGAATACGCAGCAACAGCCAATAAAGGATAGTTATTATGCCAAGTTGTAAGAGTGCTTATTGAAGCACTTTCAGGATTTTGCACCCGTATGTCAAAATACAAAGTCATTGTTTTAACATATTAGAATAAATTAATATGAATAAGAGCAATATATACTATGACGCTTGTTTTAAAAAATATATATCGCATTATTAAAACATTTGAAACACAGATAACAATTCTTTCTCAAATCGATAAAACACAATCAATTCCAGTCTCTTTTAATCCATGTTTACGTTGACAATTATCATCAGTTGTCTTGGAAACTAAAGCCAGTTGCACACGACGCTTGTTTTCCTGTCATTTCTCGGGTGTGTTCCAAAATTGGTAGTGCGCTGTCATCGTTGTAGCTTGTAGCGTGTTCTGAATACGGGCATCAATGGGCGAGTTCAAGACGACAAAGCGGCTAGGTACGCTTGCCGAGCGATTGAGTATGATTGGTTGGATCTATAAGTAATAACCAATTATATTCAATCGCTCGGCAAGTATACCTAGCCGTTTTGCCGTCTTGAACTCGCCCAATACATATTAAGCCCATGGCACATAGAAAAACGTAAGGTCGTAAACGTAATCAGTAAGCGAATTGACCAATCACAGTTGAGAACGTGGTGACGGCGGCCGCTTACGTTCTCAACTGTGATTGGTCAATTCGCTTACTGATTACGTTTACGACCTTACGTTTTTCTATGTGCCATGGGCTTTACTAAAAGGGTGCAGCCACAATAGAAGGAATGCTGGATTTACACTGCATCCGATCTCCGATGTGCGTCGTACGACGACTCTGCAACCAATCAGAAAAATCGTATCACTGATACGAAGCAAAATTTTGTTTTCTGATTGGTTGCAGAGTCGTCGTACGATGAAAATCGGATGTAGTGTGAATCCAGCAAGAGTCGTCGTGCGACGAAAATCGAATGTAGGGTGAATTCAACTAACCAATTAGAATAAATATCAGACTGCCAATCAGAAACTCGGACATTAATATCGCTTCTCTTTATATATAGGACTCTAACCACAATGACGCCTTCCTCCGCCGGCGACACGAGGCTGACGGAGCTGACGAAGGCGTCGGCAGTGGTCGGTGGTGGTCGGTAGTCGGCACCAGTCGGCATTGTGACCGGCTGGGTTTTGGTGTTCGTAATCGTCTCTGTTATAGAAGTTGGAAACGCGATATACGCGTGAGAACAATACGGAAATTGAAAAAGAGAGTAAACGAGAGCACAAAGCATTCAGGGTGCCACATCCTACGTATAAGTATTGATGGTTCCTGTACATTCTCTACACCGCGTCGCACCACTCCCTCTCTAATCCTTGTACTCTCGCCATTGCTCGCTACGTTTCTCGTCAAACCGCTATTCACTGCGGTTGACAACTCGGTGGACAACGATACCTCCCCTTTTGACTGATCACAGAGTTGTACATTTTTCGCACACAATCGGAAAGAGCAAGTTCACACTTGCTTACGCTCCTATTCTCTCCCAAGGTCCACTCTCTTTTCCATGTCAACAACACGCGCGCTTCTGTCAAGGCCAGCAGCGAGCTCTGTGAGTTACTACACCCCTCACGTCGTTGTCATCCACGAGAATTTGTTATCGTACACGTCGCATTTGCGCCACTGGGGAATCTCGACGAAGATCGCCGACGGTATCGAACGTCGAGACTGTCGGGAGTCGGGAAGAACGTCGTGCGATCGGATCGACGGCGTCGCTCCTACCACCTTGAGATGAGTGACCATGGCTGTATACATTTAAATAATTTTAAAGCAGCCAAAGGTATCCAGCCGTACAAAGTAATTCACTCATTTTTCGTGACTAGTACATCGACCGAGGCACGCGTCAGAAAGGTACGTCTATCTTTTTCTCCCGTGCTAGGGGTCAAAGTTCTTTGTCACGTTTCGGGAGATCTTTCATCTTGCTCCTCTGTGTCTTGTTTTCACATTTCCTCGCTCTCGCTCTCTCCATTTCTTTGTGCCTCTGTGTACGTACATTTAAAGGATTATTTATACTGACCGTAATTTACAAAAATTAACCAATCATAGTCAGTGAGCTCTATAATATACTGTAGCGAGCCATTAAAGACTGGATGTGGTCTTGATTTCTAAATAATACTAATCTCAAACTAATTCACTACTTGGTTAATTCTGTTTTACTAACATAAGTAGAAAACAGTCAGAATGACCAATATTGCTTGCTTTTCTTTTCTCCATTAGGCCGCAGTTTTTTTTATAGTTTAATACAGGAAAGTCTTGCTTCAGTAGGTATATATTATAGAATTCACTGGTTCAAGTTGACAAAACAGTTAGCCTACTCGCCGAATAAATGAACATGATTGGTCGTTACTTATAGATCCAACCAATCGCATTCAATTGCTCAGCGAACAGGTTAGTAGCTTTGTCCGGCTTGAATGTGCTCAATATTTATTATTAGCAGTAATTCATATATATCTCATAAGGAAAATGTGATTGGTTAATTTTTTTATGCATATGTTTATGTACCTATGCGAGTTGTGTGGATATACCTTTATGATATGACTTTACCTTTAATATATGGTATGTTCTATTATGTGTAGGAATCTTTTCAGTTTTCATTATTTTTAATACAAACTAATTTAATTTGGTAAGGGAAAAAATTTGGTTGTGTTTGGTTTGGTTGCTCACGCGCTTTAAGCACTTAATAATCATCATTCTATCTTTGTCGTTCATTAGACGCAAAATAAGAATAAAAATGCTGAAAGCATACAAATTGAAAAAACGTAAATTTAACAAATATATTTGATATACGCCTATCCTAAAAATAGGTGATATGCAGTGATATGCATATTGATACACTAAACATTATTTGAAAATTCTTTTTAGGTGAAAAAAGAATTTTTTTACAAATGTTTGATTTCAAATAGTCTCGACAACAATTTCCCACCGATTTTGTAAAATATGAAATGACAATAAAATTAAATTGATAAATATAAGTTAAAATTATACATTATTAACTCCTTTAATTGGTAAAATAAATAAACAAAGAAATATACAAGGCTATAGGAGTCGACCGCTAGTTGTATTGCAAAATCTTAAATTTAATAATATAATAATTTTCGTACGTTTCGACTTCTGTTTCGAGTCATCTTCAGCTTTACACAATAATACTGCAAAAATACCGCAAATTATCGCAAATTATTTCATCTCGTGTGTCTCACCTTGGAAACCTTCTAGGGATGAGCAGAATTATTCAAACAATTGCATAGCTGAGTGTTGAAATAAACTCAAGCTAAATGTTAAAATTACCGTTAATCAACATTAAATGAGCATTAAATTGAATTTTAATATAATAATTTACCCTCATAAGCACCAGAGTGATCACACAACTTAAAACAATTTTTATATCAATAAAATTATTACACTACTCTGAGCATGCTCAGTATTATGTATCTAAATTTTAAAAATAATTGTTAAATAATTACCTTAAATTTAAATTTTGTTTAAAGTTTAGGTTTATTTGTTTGTTTAGTAAATAAGATATATAAACGTAATACGATTAATATTAGGAATTTATTTTGCAGGCTGTGAGTTGTTTATGTCACACATGTAAAACTTATAAGGATCGCCTACATTCTTGTCTTCATTGTATATTTTTTGGCTGCTATGTAAAAGGTCACATACAAGAGCATGCAAAAACGAAGAAACATTTTCTAGGTATATACAGAATATTTTTCAGATTACATCCACATATTATATGTTTTCAAATATTTAATTTTCAATTATTTAAAAATAAATATACAAATAAAATTTTATATAATGTGAATTTTAATAATTTCATAATTAGATGAGTGTTTGTTTTTATATCGTCTTATTTTTTCTGTTTTATTGTAGCCGTTGATTTATGTTATGGGAATATTCTGTGCTTCCAATGTGGTGATTATGTATATGACAGAGAGTTGTTAAAAGTGGCAAAAGCACAATGGAGCGAGTTGGCAAAATCCTTGAGCTTCGGAGAATTCTATCGTGCATGGGAACCCACGCAGACAGAGGCGGAGTTGCTGAGAAATCATCCGCGGCGAAGACGCGTCGTAGAAAATTCCACTATAGGTATTGAAAAAATTCTTAAGTTTATCGTTAGTTCAATTTCCAGATCACATTGTATGAGCTAAATAAATTTTATTTGATGGCATACAAATGCAAATAATGTTAATATAATGTTATCTTCAGAAAAAATATAATTTGACAATATTACAATAATGATTCAATTATTACTCTTTGTAGAATAATGTAAAAATTCATGCTCTGTTTTAATTTTAGGTTTAAGAGGACTCATCAATCTCGGAAATACTTGTTTCGTAAATTGCATCGTACAGGCGCTTATTCACACTCCACTATTACGAGATTACTTCCTTGCTGACCGTCATCACTGCCCGCAACCGAGTCTCTGTTTGGTCTGCGAGGTATCTCATTTGTTCCAAGAGTTCTATTCCGGCAACAAGGCTCCATTGACGCTTCACAAACTTCTCCATCTGATTTGGACTCACGTCAGACATCTAGCAGGTTATGAGCAGCAGGATGCTCATGAATTCTTCATTGCTACACTGGATGTCCTTCATAAACACTGCGAAGCCACTACGATTCTGGTTAAAGACAACCCTCATCACTGCAAATGTATCATTGATCAAATATTTACTGGGTGCCTTCAAAGTGACGTTGTTTGTCAGGCTTGCAAGTATGTTAATCTCTATGTTTCTCTAAGAAGGGTACTTAATATACAGAGAAGATATGTATAATATCAATGTGGAACCTATAAAATATTTAAGTACACACTAAAAAAGTAATTAAATAATGTGATAAGTGCATGGCTTATTTTATGTAGAATGAAATAATTATTAAATCAGATAAAGGAGGATCCTGATTGACCATAGAGCATTACAATTATACAGCGTCTAGTACGTGGAGCTTTTTTTGATCGAGTGATGTTAGTGAATTGTGTTTAAATGTAACGTGGTCAATTGATACTCGTCAGATTAATACAAAACTTCTCAAATATATAATACACTATAAAGATAACCTATAATAAGAATCTGTATTATATCAAATTTAGCTCTATTAGCCTTCACTTTCTTTTCAGTGGTGTGTCAACAACAATAGATCCATTTTGGGACATATCTTTAGATCTAACTTCGGCAGCTAGTACCTCTGGTTCTAATACACCCGGGGCACCCACTTCCTTGCTAGATTGTCTGGAAAAATTTACCAGAGCCGAGCATTTAGGTTCTAGTGCAAAGATCAAATGTAGCAACTGTGAGACTTATCAAGAAAGCACAAAGCAATTAACGATGAAGCAATTGCCGATCGTGGCGATCTTTCATCTAAAGCGCTTTGAACACTTCATAATTCAAGATAAGATTTTTAAAAAGAAGATCTCTACATTTATCTCGTTCCCGGAACAACTAGATATGACGCCATTCATGTCGCATAAACGCAACGGTAACAATAACAGCGCTATGCTGAATGGCTTGTCGAAAAACGGAGAAGATATGAGTTTCAGTGACAATAGGTAGTAATATTTCTTGAATTACCATCTTTTTCTATTCTCAATTATTATGGGTGATCAATATTATATCGTTTCAACACCTACGTTGAATTAAAATATTGCTGATAATAGGTACTCTCTGTTTGCCGTAATAAATCATGAGGGTTCTTTAGAGACTGGACATTATACCGCTTTCATCAGACAACAGAGAGATCAATGGTTCAAGTGCAATGATCATTTGATTACACGAGCCAAGTTGAAGGATGTTTTGACCAGCGAAGGGTAAGATAAAATAGGGCGATACTGAAAATGGATGAGAATCATTTATCTGAATTTTGATTTTTTTTATTACAATTTCTCAACGAAAGAAAAGAACAAGATATAAATCGTTTTCTCAGCCGCTAAATAAATTTTTGCTTTTCAGATATCTCCTGTTTTATCACAAGCAAATTTTGGAATATGGTTAAAATGATAAAGTCTGAAACAGAAAAGAAGATGTGAATCAAGTCATGTAATTAATTTATTTAACAAAGAATTTAAAAATCGCTACTGAAGCTAGACGTCAGTGACACTTTATGTTTACCGAATATAAATTATTGTCACTGTCACTTTATGGTTTCCGTTGGCGCCTTTTGTATACGATAAGGTGTGTTGTCTGACATTCCCGGTCGACATCTACATGAATGTAACGTAAGCATAGACATTAAGTTTAGCTCAATTTTTTTAAATCGACCGATTGTAATTTTTGTATACTGCTGATCGTTGATATACTTCTACTTTGACATTTATGTTATATATAAGACGCTCCATGTCAATCAGATCACCTGCGTGCCCAGAAATCAGCGCAACAAAAATTAACGTTTAAAGTCTCATATTATTCATATACGTATATACTTTCTAAAAAAAAATGTTTTGAAAAATGAATTATGGTAGATCCAATATGGCATCGAGAAACGATGCCATACGCCACATAAATCCCGCATGAAGGGGTAAATTATTTTAATTATTTTATGTTAGTCTTAGAATAAAAAATATTTTATCATTAGTTTTCAGGAGGTAGTGATTGATACTTAAATGCACGTTCCAAAATCTCTTATTTTGAATTTCGGAATTTTGATGGCAGATTCGTAATCTGCAAACTCGAAAACCTAGGAGTACATACTTTCAAACTAATTTGGTAGTATAGTTAGTATAGTAATTTAAGCAAGAAAATCTTAAATTTACATGTAATGTTTTATTGCTTCTCTGCGCCATATTGGATTTGTCACATTGTATTTTTCAAAAAGCAACATTTCTTTCGAAAGTACATGTATGCATATGCGAATACTTTAAGACCTTGAACATTTATTTTCGTTGCGTTGATTTTGAGTACGCAGGTGATCTAGTGACGTGACGCCTCAACATGACACACACACAAATATTTATACATGTGTGTGTGTGTGTGTGTGTGTGTGTGTGTGTGTGTGTGTGTGTGTGTGTGTGTGTGTGTG